TACATATAAGTATGACTAAATATGTACCCTCATCAGCTGCAATAGCAAATGCCACCATTTAAAACTTTTTCTCATAATTTTTTTTAATTTCTTAGCCATATTTCCATTGCATTGCACAACAGTATTTCTGATTCCTTTTACATTTGCACATGCTTGTGTCTTTTTAGGATGCACAATTTCCGCTACATTCAGTAGATACTCTTTTACAACTTGCTGTCTGTGAAGAATTTGATATCCCAGGCAGATTTTTCACTTCAAAACATAACTGCTTATTTTATAAATAACCAAGACAAACTTTGTTGACATTTCAATTCTCTTTCAGATCATTAGGTTTTGATCACATCTTTCCCATATCCCTGGTCTTTGTTCTTACTGTGGTTTGTTGCATAAGGGCATGTAGGCTGTTTTCTGTAGTTTTATCTCTTGCCAAGTAAACATTCAGGATGGTCATCGATTTGCTAAATGGAACATATGGCTCTCTCAGCTTATCTCCTTTTTCATATTCTTCAGACAGATACGAGTACAAAAATTGATGTTGCTTTCCCAACACGATATAGTAGATATGACTGCCACAAAGCTAAATACTACAGTTTCACCTGGTGGAAGGACATGTCCCTTTAGTCTCCAACAAGTCATCAGTCACTTCCACCAGGATGCAGGTGACACTCTTCCTGTTGCCCCAGAACTAACCTGAGAGCCCATAGTATAAACCCTGAAGGTAAGTCCCCCCAGGAGTAGTGGTTCTCAACCCTCTCCTGCCTCATCTGAGAATCACAATCAGGAACTCTGAAAATGCAATGCTTAACATTCTCCAGAACAGTTATTCAGAATCTTTAAGAGTAAGGCATGGGTATATTGTTTTGGGTTTTGATTTTGATTTTTTAAAGTCCTTTAGGTTATTCAGATAATTCTAATATATGGACAGGGTTGAGAAGAACAGATCTAAAGAAAGCAGCCAATAACTAAGGTCAGATATGTACCTGAAATGCTTAGTAAGAGGCAGTAGTACTAGCCTCACTGCAACCAGCCACCTAAGTGTTTGTGTCTATATAGATGGATGGATGGGTGGATAGACAGATGATAGGCAGGCTAAGGGAGAGTTACTGAAGTTACAGGCAGGGCAACAGAGTGGATAACTGCCGCAGAACCCCTTATGAGCTCACACTTGCTCCTCACAAGACAGCCAACATATGGACGCCTGGCACCCAGAAGGCTTGGTGGCCAGATGGTGTTGGCAGGGAAGCAGCCGAGAATGCATTTACAACAGCAGCTAGGGATATAGACACTGCCCCTTCTCTCTCCCACACCAGCCAGGGCTTGGAGCTGGAGAGACGGGTGGCTCTGGGTTTGCCCCATCCCAGCCCACCTAGCCAGATGGAATCCAGTTTGAACTGTTCTTGGGAGAAGGAGACGAGAATATTTAAAGCAAATATTAAACTGAACTGAGCATTAATAGCTAAAAAAGATGAGAAAATTTGAAACCTACCCAAGATATCACTATGGGATGGATAGGGAGATTCAACAGCTCAGAGCTGAGCACTCTGATTAGAGAAAATAAACATGTATTGTGTTTACCCCTTACTGAGCTGACGCCGCTCCACCAGCTAATTATACTGCAGTGTTTTCTCGGTCATACCTACCAGCCTTAAACACCACTGCTGGGTTTTGACAGGATTTCTCTTTCCTGTCTCCATTGGGTTGGCAGATATGTTTCTTGGGGGGCACGCAGACACTTGGCATGGGGTAGTGTAGAGGCTATCTGGCAGGCATCCCTCTGTTCTGACATTGGCTTCAACCGATGCGTTCATGCCTTATGTGTACTGAAGGTGCAAAGTCCCTTTGATATGGCCATGACCTGTGGGAATTCAGCAACTCCCCTAGTGGATTTACAAGCTCTGTTTGTGGACACAAGGAAAGTTGACAGCCCTCCCCTGTGTGGATGGGATGTGGAATGCTCAGGGCTCTCATCCACCCCTGCCTGCCTATGACACTCCCATGCAACCACAAGTGGTAGACCAGGAGGGAAGACCTCTCTGCAGACCCTGGGCTATCTAGCTCCTCCCTGCCTACCTCCTCCCTCATTTCTCTCCAACTTCTAAAAGCATTTTTTTTTTTTGAGAGAGAGATTTTTGCCATAGAGTACATGCGCTTGCCAGAAAGATAGGGAGATACAGAAGGACAGAAAGTGAGAAATCACTCCCCGGGGGAGATGACCACACTGGAATCCTCCATTCTCCTCTTGGGGGTTTGGCCATGCATGCACCTGCACCTGTCAGCAGTTTAAGCCACTGGGTCCAGGACTCAAACCTCAGTCGACTATGTGGGAGTCCAGCAACATAACTATTATGTCACCTTCTGGTCCCGTGAAAAAGCATTTTCTAGTCTACATTGTGTTGTGTTGAGAGAGAAGAAGAAAAAAAAAAAAAAGTTTCCCCTAATCACATATTACTCCAAATCAGTTCAACCCAACACCTGGACCAAAGCTTTTGAACTTAATAGTCAAGAATTTGAAACTTTTGTTCTTTGGCAATCCTACGAAAGCTTCTCTAAAGTAGAATATCTCCAATCTAACTCCCTTAATGAAAAAGTGTCACAGAATAAAAACTGAACTGGCCCTACATGCCTACAAATACGGCGCTGTGAGCTGCCCAGAGTCGTCAGTCCAGATTGCCAGCCAGCATGGAACCTCTGCCCCCATTCCACACTCAGCAGACTATGCCCCTTCCTGCCTCTCCGATCCAGGCCTCTAGGTCTGCAGGCAGACCCTGCCCTTCAGCCCCCTCTGCTCTCGCCTCTTCTTTTTCTTTTCTTGCCAGAAGGCACCCAAGCTTGCCAGATGAAGACAGATACAAAGAAAGGAGAGATGGAAAGCACCCCCAATGGGACATGGTCACGCTACAATCATTTCTCCTCTATTTCCCCCTCCTTTTGGGATTTTGAACATGCACAGATATGTACCCCACGTGCTGTTCAAGCCACCAGGTCCAGGACTCAAACCACAGAGTTAGCTGTGTAGGATCCACCTGTCTTAAACACTAGGCCACAGGCCCAGCTTTCTTACCTCTTAAAATCAGAGGGAAAAAAATGAATGAAAAGCAATAGAAAATGGTACCATAGCAATGGAAATCAACAGTGATGAGAGGTGATTTGTTTTTTGCTTCCATAAGTTGAAACAAAACAAATGAAAGACAAGCTTTGGAAACTGTGAAAGCTGTTGACACGTACAAGGGGACTTCAGAAATTTCAGAAAATGGAGTTAAAGTATGAGTTTAGTTTGGTGGAAAAAAATTGTAAATCTGTGCCTTGTTTTTTCATTATACATACTGTCCATGAATCTTTTGAAGATCCTGCACATCCCTCCTCTACAGGAGAAGTAAAGGAGTTAGTGAGACTCTTCGAGGAGATGTAGCACTTGTCAATGACTCTTGTTGCTTCCAGTGTCCAGCTATTATAACTAAAGCTGCTTTGAGCATTCTTGTACAAGTCTCCGTACCAACCTGCTGGTCCCAGTATTGCCAAATATTCTAATTTTCAAAAAAAAATAGATTTATGTGTATATGCAGATATGCAATCTCCTAGACTTAAATTTTAGCCAATATAATGAACAAACAGAAAAAGGTTCAGTACTGGTGAACTAATTCTGTCCAATATTAGTCAATGTAAGATACAACACAACTATAGGGCCAAATTTGGGTCAAGGTTTGTTAGTTTCTAGCTAGGATTTGTTTCTCAATCCTGGCTGTGAACAACATAACTTTTCTTTCCTTCCTTTAGACAGGGTCACTATGTCACAATCCTCCAGCCTTAGCCTTTCAAGTAACTAGGGCTACAGGTACACAAAACAGCATCTGACCTTTTAGCTTTTTAAAAATACTGCATGCCACGAAAATAAAAAATTATCTGTTGACGGTAATGTATATGGTTATGCCTCTGACTTGCCTAATATGCACTGTATTCATGCCAGGAGAACCATGTTGCATAGTGTAAAAATATACAGTGATTGAATGTAAATAAAAATAATTAATAAAAAAAATAAGAGTACAAAATGCATGAGGCATATCTCAGACTCTGAATTGGTAGATTTGGATGAGTTCTAGGCATCTTTATTTTCTTTCTTTTTTTTTTTTTTTGGTGCTAGAGTTTGTTTCGGTTTACAGCCGAAGTTGAGGAGTAGTTACAGTGTCTTGTCATACTTCCCAACTTCAATACTATGTTCAGAACACTCTGAATCTTTCTCAGGCTTAACACTGATGCTGAGCTCAAATAGTCATGTGGTTCTCAGTAACTTGTAATTGCTGATGCACATACAAACACACGACAGCTGGGGCTAGGAGACTTTCTAGTCTCTAATTAACCCAAATAGCATCCAATTTTGGCTTTTCTGTGTATTGTTTGAGGACATTATAATAGCTGGCCTTTCTGGGAGAAACTTAATTTTAGAAGATGTTTGTATATGAGTTTATGGGAATTTCTTATTTCACAAACATGGTAACTATGGAAATAAAAAAACATCTCTCAAAATAAAGGGGATAAGAAATGATGCAGGGGAAGGCAGGTAGAAGAAGCTCTTGAGTTTTTACAGATAACTTAGCTGGTAACAAGATCTTGTGAAATAAGTTAAAAAGCCAAGGTGACTCTAAGGTTCCTAACATGAGATTCTTGCCCTGTCTAGTGAATACAAACTTAAAGTAAAGAAAAGAGGAAAATGCAAGACTCGAAACCTGTCTTAAATTCTTTCCAGTGAGCTTCTGAAAACCCAAGATAAATGGATCTTTATGAAAAATGGGGGTGGGGGGGGCAGGGGAAAGCCAGTAACCGGATCCTCTCATCATTTGCATGTCGAGCCTCTAATTCATAGTCACATGACAAGCAAATGAAGAAAAATTGGAAATAACCAGTAACCAGGGAGAGAAACTACAGTAACATTGAGTAAGAGTGAGAAGATTACAGAGCAGGTACCAGTTCTTGGCGTGGAAATTTGCACCTCAGGGTCAAAGACAATGGCAACTGTGAACACAGATGCCACAGATAACGACATATCCAGATTTAAAGTCATCTTCACCTTGGTGGTCTCTGGAATACAGTGCATCATAGGTGTCACTGGGAATGGCTTCATTACCGCCATCTATGGGGCTGAGTTGGTCAGAGGAAAAAAGCTCCCCACTGGTGACTGCATTCTGTTGATGCTCAGCTCTTCCAGGCTGTTGCTACAAATGTGGATGATGCTGGAGAACATTTACAGTCTATTACTCCGCGTCGCTTATAACCAAAACACGGTGTATACACTCTTCAAAGTCGTCATAGTGTTCCTAAACTATTCCAACCTGTGGTTTGCCACCTGGCTCAATGTCTTCTATTGTCTAAGGATTGTGAACTTCACTTACCCCTTGTTCTTCACGATGAAGAGGAAGATTCTAGTGCTGCTGCCTTGGCTTGTGAGGCTGTCATTGTTGGTTTCCTCAGGCTTCAGTTTACCCTTCTATAAAGACGTCTTCAATGTGTACGTGAACAGTTCCATTCCTGTCCCCTCCACCAACTCCACTGAGAAGAAATACTTCTCTGAGACCAATGTGCTCAACCTGGCATTTTTCTACAACCTGGGGATCTTCATTCCTCTGATCATATTCATCTTGGCAGCCTCCCTGCTGATCCTCTCTCTCAAGAGACACACCCTGAACATGAAGAGTGGTGCCACTGGCTCCAGGGACCCCAGCATGGAGGCTCACTTGGGGGCCATCAAGGCTACCAGCTACTTTCTCATTCTCTACATTTTCAATGCAGTTGCCCTATTTGCTTCCCTGTCCAACATCTTTGACACCTACAGTTCCTGGAATATTTTGTGCAAAATCATCATGGCTGCCTACCCAGCTGCCCACTCAGTGCAACTGATCCTGGGCAACCCTGGACTAAGAAGAGCCTGGAAGCGGTTCCAGCACCAACTTCATCTTTACCTCAGAAAGCAGAATCCATGACTGGCGCACAGGGAGTAGACAGAACCTGACCAAACTAGTTCTACCTTTTCTTCATCTAGACCTCCCTCCTCACCCATCTTTTCTCCCCAAACCTGTTCTGACACTTCTCTCCAGGTAACTAGATCCTTTCATGAACGTGAGCCGGAATTTTTACCTGGAGCTTCTAAGCAGAAGGAGCTAAGCAACTCGAACATGGATTTATCAAAGCTCCTTGGTCTGTGTACATTCCTGGTCTCCCCTGAGCTCCTCTCCACTTCTCCTCTGAGCCTAAAGAAGAGGGTGACCAGTTAGCCTAGGACAATACCTATTTGTTGTTGGTTGTCAATTGAGCACCATTTACATTTTGAGGATACCTTGATCTGGATGGAAAAATAATATAACCACCCTATATAAGTCACCCTACTAACTAGCTGCAATCAGAGAAAGGGGGGCTAGGAAAGGACACAGTATGCAGTTCAAGAAGTAGAAAGGAAACCAGAATCCCTACAGAGAAAATAGATTCGGGAGAGAAAGGCTGGCCAAATCACAAAGTGCTGCAGAGGTTCCAAGAAAAGTAAAGGGTGAAAAAGAAAAAGAAAACAAAGAGCTTTGGATTTGACTAAAGGAGGCCTTTGTACTGTTAATGGAGTAATAGGGCAGCATCCAGATTCTAGGAGTCTCAAGGGAAAGTGATCCACAATGCCAGGAATGTGCAAAGATCAACACTTAGGGAAACCATTTGGAGATAAATGAAACAGAATGGCAGGTGGAGAGGTGATTAGTCAATAAAATGCTTTATTTTTCCAAATGGGAGGGAACACAGTGAGAAAAGAGCAAAGGAAGAAGGAAGGAAGAAAAGTGAGGTAAACAGGAAGCAGAAATTAGAAATGAAGAGGCCTGAGTCAGTGAGCATCTGGTTTGCTTAGCTCCTACCTCTGTGCCCATGTGAGTGGTGCCTGTGTCTCTTGATTTACTGGTCCTGGGTTACCTGGAAGTAACTACTGTGGAAGAGCAGATCCCCTAGGAGTGGCTGTTGGAAAAAAAGGAAAGTGTTATTTTCTATTATCACTCTTCCAAATAATCCATCAACACTATCTCAGGCTATTCACAAAATCAGATAGCCACCTCCTGGATATCTTAGAACTCCAAAGTTAGGAATTTGAATATTTTTTATTAAGTTTTTTTTGCATTATGATTACTGAGGGAAATGTGAAAAGAATGCTACTGATCCTACCAAGTTCAGGTAGCTTCCAAAGTTTAAACTCCCAGCTCCTGGCTACCAAGGACTTTCTTCAGAGAAAGTTTCTAACACTCAAACTGCTCACACACACTCATACTTATCCTTTCACAGTTCAGACAACTTGGGACCTATTTAACTAGAAAGCAAAATTCACGAAAACAATTTTGATCATTTTCTTAAGTGATGCTTTATGTACGACTATTTAAGTTTGGGTAGTTGTTTTAGTAAAACAAATTAGATTTGAAGTTTCATTCCAATTCCTACAAACTAGAGACATAGTCATTTTACCACTGTGTGTTCTTACCTTGCAAACTCTACACCCCTCTTCCTGTCCCCTAGAGGAGATAGGAAGTTATAGTGTGAAGGATCCCTTTCCCCACAAATCGCTCTGGATATTCATCTACCCTGTGGAGCAGCACAAGAGACTTCAGTTGCCAAGGGATTCTGGTCTGAAAGGCCTGACGTAGGGACGGTGTGTCTGCCATATTTCTTCACATTTGGTGGAGTCCTTACAAATGGAGGCTACACAGGCAAGTCAGGGCCAACCTAAGGGCTGTGACTCCAGGGACACCAGCACCAGATTGTCTCAAATCTAATATCACCTTTGCCTTCCAGCTACCTCAGTGCTGCTAAAATTCCACTGTGACTCTTGTTTTTCTTTGAGTTTTCTCTGCAGAAAATCCATCCTATTCTCTCACATGTCCTTTGAGCTCCTAGGATAGAAAGATCTGTTTCATAAGGGGACAGCAACTGTGAGGTCAACCTGCCTGAAACAAGTCTTGCATCGATGGAGGTGAGCAGAAACCAAGAGCAGATATAAGAAGCAACCATGGAAGAAAAAGAAGGAGAAACAGAGTGGAAGTTCCTACTCCTCTTAGAGGAGAGGTGAGAGGAGAAAAATGTCTAACTGACGCAGAAAGACTGGTTGTGGGAGCAGAAAGGAGAGTGGAGAGAGGTCAGGAGGCCAGGCTCAATGTCTGGAGGCTGGAGGGCCACTCTGTGTCCTTTCCTGAAGTGGGGAGGAGTGAGTTGCCTGACAGTGGAAAGTAAAAAGCCATAGAGAAATGTTCATCTCAGGTGTCGTCTGGAACACATCAGGTTTTGGTGGTGGAGGGACAGAAGAACTCTGAGCCTGGGACGTGGCCCAGGAAAGTCAGGCCTGAGCAGAGGACAATGTAGATGAAAGAAGGGTGTGGGGTGAAGGGCCGGATGGAAAGAACCATGGGAGGGAAGGAGTGGAGTGCAGGGTGTGGGTGACACTCTTGGCCAGTCTTGGTCTGGAAGAAGCTCTCTAGGGACAGCTCCTGCCAAAACCTGTGGGGATCATCCTTGCAAGCAACAAATGAAAAGTCTCCCAAGAGCTTTGAAAGGAAGGTTTCTGTGTAGGGCCCTACCCAGTTGAGGGTGTGGCATTGCAGAGGTGCTCTGCCTCTGCAATGCGGGCCTATCCACCAAACTCAGTGGGCAAAAATATAGACTTTTTTTTAATGTTCTGGTTTGCCTCTGATTTGCTTTCCTTATTTTTTTTTAATTGTCAAAGAATATGTGTGCTCACAATAGAGAAAAAGAGAGAAAACACTCCCTGCTTGCAAGCTGGCATGGTCATGCCTCAATCTTTTCTCCATTTCTCCATTGTGACAGAATTTGGGGCATGCACAACCTTCCAGCATGTTTTTCAAGCCTCCTGGACTGGGATTTGAATCACTGTCGTCCATGTGAGATGCAGCTTTCTAGTACAGCGTACTGTGGGGCCAGCCTGCCATACCTTCTTTTAGTAGGGAGCTTGATGAATGTTCTACTTTCTCTCAGGCATACCAGGAGAAAATAGAAAAGTAGTTTTAAAGCCAGTCCAAAGAGAAAAAGAATCCAGGATCCCCTGAGTTTGGGTGTAACAGTGGCTGGCTGTGAGGGGGGTGCCCAAGGAAAGAACCCAAATGGGATTGTTCCTGTGAAACCTCCTGGGCCCTTGGGCAGCTGCATCCACTCGACTGCCATCCCCAGCCACGCAGTCCCTGGACTCAAGAGACAGGCTTAGGCCCTGGGTCTGCTGCATAATGGTGTCTGACACAGGCATGTCATTGCATCTCTCTGAACCTTGGTTTCCACATCTGTAAAACAGGAATAATCATAATAGCAATACCTACTGCCTAGCATTACCCCATCCGATGAGACGGGTGAAATACCATATTTAGCACACGGTGTCCCAGAGCTGCTGAAAACTGCCAGCTATTATTATTCCGAAGGGAAGAGAAGTAGCTGAGGCTGAGGGACAGTAGCTAAAATGAGACTATGTGAAGCAGATAGACCCAGATGCAATTGTCAGCACCCAGAGGAGCCCAGGCCTTTACCGTCCCATAGACTCAGTGGCAGAACATCAGCACAGATGCAGCAGCAGTGTGGCCAACCAAGTGGCACGTGGAAAGCAAAGGGTGTCCTGAAATAGTCAGCTCCTTCACCCCTCATGGCAATGTCATACTGCACTGTTTAACTGTCTGGCATTTACGTGAGTGCCAGTATGAACACCTGAGGTACTAGATCAGTAGTCAGTAAGCTCTTTCTGACAAGGGTCAGAACTTTGAAAAAAAGAACTCTGGGCGTGGTGGACCACACAGTCGCTGCCAGAAGTACCCAACCCTCCGTGGCAGTGCAAAAACTGCAGAGACAACGTATAACCCAATGGGATGGCGAAATTTGAATCTCACATAATTTTCTCATGTGAAATAGCCTTTCTGTGATATCTTTTCAACTATTTAAGAATGCACAGAACCTTCTTGGTCATGGGATATACGAAAAAAGTGTGTGCTGGATTTTCACCCAGTTGCAGACCTTGCTCTTGGTGTCTTCTCCAACCCAAGGGAGCAGAGTATACCCCAAACCCATTAGACTTCACTGTCAAACGGGGAGACTGCTGTGACAACTTTTGCCTTGTGTTACGCATTGCAACTTTCCCAGCGTTTTTGCCACTTTTAATTTCTCCAGGTTTCCTCTACTCTTGCAACTCTTAAAATAGTCCTTGGCCAACAGCTAGTGGGGTGGCTAAGGTGCTAGATTCCCACATGGCTGACTACAGTTTGAATCACAGGCCCTGAGGCCAGAAGACCACAACAAATAAATAGATACATAATAAATAAATAAATAAATAAATAAATAAATGTATGTTTAAAGAAATACAGTCTTAGTTCATCATAAAAACATAAACAAAAAAATATTATGTCCTAATCCCCTTTCTCCTGCTTGCTAAAAAACGGGCACAAGGCCAAACATTTGTTTTTCTCTAAAGCTTTGAAAGATATGACCAGGAAACTATTCATTTGGTAACAAGGGTCAACAGACCCCTGCTGGGTCCCTGGGAATGTTGTAGACAGAGATATAGTCTAGAGCTGATGCTATAAAACCTTAACTATCTCTGTAAGAGTCAAGCTCTAGGCCATGGTTGTCTTCATGGATCCGATCCTGCATAGCAATGCTAGTGTTTTTATGTTCTTTTTAGATAAGTGAGTAGTAGGCCGATTTATTGTCTGATGATGGGAGAGGCCTAGAGTCGGTGGGGCATGGACACTATGGTGTCAAAGCTCTGGATCTGAGTCCCCACTCTGGGGAATTTTGGGGAAGTCATTGATCCTCTCTGTGCCTCAGTTTCCTGAAAGACGAAGATAATCATGACATCTACTTCACGCACTTGCTGTAAAGCTCGAGGGAAATAATGCACATGTGTATAATAAACCATAAACTCAGTATACAAGGATAAGTGCATTTATTCATTTAGCACAAAGGTATTCAT